ATATTATGCAAACTCATAAACTTTTTATAGCGAAGGCATCCATTGCACTCCGCCACTAATACAACAAGGAAAACGTCAATTAGCAGCGCGTCGGTTTTTGTTAAAAAAAAACTTATGATTTATGGTCCCTGTAATGTGAGACTCGTTAGAATGTTACAAATTGTCTATGGTCTTCTAACGTTTAACGCTCGTTGGACAAGCTTGCAAATTAGTTTGAACAGGATGTGAGAAATAAATGCAAGATTGTATTTAAGTAGGCTTTATTTATTTTTATCTGTTTTTACGGTAGTTAGCATTAACTCAAAAGATATTTTATCAGAACTGTAATAAATAGATAATATAGTGTGTTATTCAAGGTGGAAACGATAAGTGATCTCACTCGATTATTTCTAAACTATACAAGATATCAAAAAACTGGTAGCTGGAAACATTGAATTTACAGATGGATAACCTATTTATTGATACCGTTTGATAGAGCTCGTGAATAACTTTTAAGATCAGTATGATGATCGAGTGAACGAGTAAAGTAAACTTATCGTTTCCACCCTGTATAAGCCGCATAAAAACCATACAGCCATAGAAAAACAAAAAATCATGGAAAAGCTTTGAAGCTTTTGGTAGAGCTAAAAATATATGAATACATAATGAACTCCTTCAGTGAAAATATTATGTACTTGGTAAAGTACAGTCAACGGTAAGTACAAATCAATAATAAAATGTATTCCTAAACCTAAATTTCAAATTATCAGTACACAATATTTTGTACTCGCGCCGAAACTAATCGCAACGCATCTGGCTAAATCATCTGTCCTATAATAGGTACTTTCCGTGTCCTATTTATAACCATTAATGAGCTCATTAGAACTAATGCATGGTATCTCATATTTTGATTTATATCTGCATTTGAAATAATACTTATATTGCTTTAATAACCCGTTCTAATGACACCGCTGATAGCTATATGCGTAATGCCGTGTAGGTTGTTAGAAAACACGCAAGTTTGATAGATAATATTAATGTTGCTACTTAGAAGGTTGTTATCTTTTTAATTACATAGTTTCATTAATGATGATCATGATAATTTATTCAGAAATAGTGTACTTGAAGCAATTGTTTATGTCGGTGAAGGGCCGGTTTATATCTTTACATGACTTCATGGACATTTCATGGAAGGCGCTGGATGAAAGTCGCTACCAACAGGTCCGATGTGGAAATTATAAGTCAATAGACTTTTGGGGGAGGCCCATGTTCACCAGTGGACATCCTATGGCTGAAATGATGATGATGATGAAGGTTACTTTAGTCTTCACTCTAAGAGCACAATCCTCTCTAATTTACCAGATGCAAATGGAGGATTTGGCCTATACTTTCAACGCTGGTCAGACGGGTTCACATACTTGTTACTTAGTCGCCTTCTACGACATCCACGGGAAGAGTAAGAGTGGTCCTATAATCCTATTCTACTCTCCCATGCCTTAGTTGAGTAAAATTTTGAATGGAAAATGATTTCTAAAAATTAAGCGCCTTTCTAATAGGTGAACCGACGATCTACGATTAGTGAAGGGTCGCGGGAAGTACTTGGATGCGGGCAGCGCAGCATTGGCAGTTGTGAAAAGCGTTTGTCCAGCAGTGGACGTCATTTGGCTGAAACGAAGACGATGAACGATGAATGCTTTTCTAAAATTAAGAAAATATAGAATCTAAACAAAAGAAAGATGAAGAAGAAAAACAACCAAGTGCTGCAATTTCAGTGGATCAAATTAGTCCCAATACACCATAAAAACTTTTCTTAAGCGACACACGCTTTGACAAACGGTTTAGTGCCCCTAAAATTGGAACCCACTGCTAATTATCGGCTTCCTCATTTTTTGCGGAACCCCAAAACATGGTCCTAAATCATAAGTTCGCATTCCATACATAACTTTGGCCGTATTGTGCCATATTTAGACTGTTAGGCAAATTCCTTGTCATTTGCTTAACACTGTGCATTTTTATGTGCCATAAAAAGCACTCTGAAATGGAATTTCAGATTGTTTTTATGCTATGGGAAGCTTTTATTATCTAATCAGTATATGGCATACTTTAAATTAAGTAAGAATTTTCCAGTTAACAAGAAAGTAAAATTGAAAGCGACTATCTCATATTAATATGTCTAGACTCCGAATGTTGTTGAGCCAAGAAGAATTTAATCTTTCTTTTTCTTTTATCTTGTGGGTTTTAACAACTAAGATCGTAACCCGTTCAGTCTTCGTACCGCTATACGTAAGTATTTGGCATAGCATCCACCAAAGGCGCTCTCCAAAGCGTAGAATCAAAGAATTTGTTAATTAATACATATGTAATACATACTTACACCATTTTACATAATACCAATTACTTACCTAAAATATCCACAATATGTAATGGATAAATAATATATTCTAGATTTTAAATTAAAACACCAATAAGTAACTGAAAAAGAGTCTTCCTAAACATTGTTATTTTTACCCTTAAACTTATTGTCTATGGAATCCGTTAAAAAACCAAAGAGTAATGCAGCCGATACATCAGCTTAAAGAGCTCATTCGTATCCCATTAAAACCCTTCGTTTGAACAGATTTAAAATAACTGTATCACTTCACACTCCGGCACACTACCGAAATAGACAGTCGGAAATATGCAGCAAAAATAGAGCCAAGTTCAGTTTACGGGACTATTCTCATCTCTCGTTCCCACCGCTGCAGCTTCTGTGTAGCCAGGATTTATAGCTTGACCGCCAACAAAAACCCATGTTTTCCTAAAGGTTATTCAAACAGTTTTTTTGACAATTTTCATTCAATTTGAACTTGAGAGAAGTCGTAGCCTAACTTCGAATTCCTAAATACAATCTAAGGTGGTAAATAAATTCCTATTCAGTCCTGTCTTGATGAAGCCTAGATCCTCAGATGAATTTAATGTAAACGACTCTTGTGACTGAATATTTTGTTGTTTTGTAATTAAGAGCTGCAATAATTACCTTTTTGAATTATTATAATTAAATGATATTAGAGCACATAATTAGAGTTGAACAATTACAAATTTAAAACATTAGATTTATATAGATACTTAAGCATGTTTTGGAATTTTGCATCGTAAGTTAAACATTACGTATTTGTCGTAAAGTATAATTACAATGTTTAAAATTTGAGTCATACCGCTACTGCTATTGACTCTGCAATTTTATGTTGAACCCATATTTTTCTAACTTAAAGAAAAATATCAAATACTTTAAAAATCTCTGACTTTCATTTCGAGCTTGGCTAGCGCACTACCTTACTAAATACAGGGAGATGTTTAACGCCACCCTAACACTGCCACTGCGACGTGGGGTCCGTTATACCCCAAGTCACAACATCTGTCTCTGTCACGCACACAATAAACCATATACCTGTCTCGCCGCTTAGATAGTGGTACTAAATAGGTATTTAGTATTCGGAAGGGAGCACAGTTAATTATATGGGGTGAGAGAAAAATAGTTAACGTGCTTCTAATAGCTTTATTGTCGCCCTTATGGGTATGATTACAAGGTCGAGTTTTGTTGTGATTTGTGGGCGATTGTTAAGGATCGGCTGTTTGGTTTCCTAAATGGTAGGAAGATGTGATATAAATATATTATTAATAATTATGAACGCACCATTGAGCCTGCAATAATGCCGCGAGATTTATTGAGTATTAAATGTGTGAAAGGGATTTTATTCGGGATTATTAGATTTTTTTGAGCGAAAATAATATCGGGGGTATTTTTTTTGTTGATTTATTGAATTGTATGAAATAGGTAATTAAATATTGAATTAGAAGGATAAAGTACCTACTTTTCATTTGACCAAAATATTTCGGAATGATTTATTACTTAGTGAGTGTATAGGCCTTTGTCCAGCAGTGGACGTCATTTGGCTGAAACGAACGAACGAACGAACGAGTGTATAAGGGTAGGTAAGTATTTCAGATAAGTATTTAGTACTGCTTTGCTGTAAGACAAAGTTTACTATTTTATTCAATAAAATCTCAGTAACTTAGTGTATAATTTAGATGTAGCAAATCTATCACTTTCACGAAAGCGTATCGATAACAGGTAGGTAACATTGTCTAAAAGCACAAAGCGTATAAAGTTTCCTTAAAACTTTGAAAGTTTTGTGACTCTACAAAATAGAGTTCTTGAATTTTAAGTACGTAAATACATGTAACTAAGTGTTACAAAAAATAAAGAAAGCATAGATAAATTAACAACAATTTCAATAATATGTAAAAAGTGTGATATTTACAATTGTTTTCTTCTGTAATTCTGAAATCATTTGAAAAAATACGAAAATGCTCGTAGAACGAAGCGCTACGAAAAAAAAATGTTACATCGATGACATCCTATTACAATATTTCCCTATCAGTGAAATTTCTATTGGAAGTTTATAATAAATTCATGTTTACACCGAAATCTATACACAAATACACATACAACTTACACAAAGAAAGAACCTTCATTAATTATGATAAACGGTGATATAACGACCCAAAACGCTTTAACGACATAAATCGCATCCGTATCACAATAAATAATTGTTACTACTGTCGCAAATCAGGCCCGCTAATTTGAAACGGATCCTCCAAACTCCCGACACTAATCTCTCAAAGGGCAGCTCCGCTCAAAGGTTTTAACAAGCGACATTCACAACTGCTCATTATATTTTTATACTTTATACCTCAGTGGCGGACATAAACTGCGCGATCAAAACGCGCGAACCCCTACAAAAGGTAATTATGTTTTGATTCCTACAAAAAAAAATCGAGTATCACAAAGGAGACTAACGAGATAAGAGCGTGCTAAATCGCTCTCCGACTCTCCCCTCGCCCCCGCTCGGATCAATTCGGGAGAGAACGGTCGATTGGCGGAGCGGGACAGCTTCATTGTGGGCGGGGCTTGTACAGACCACGCCCCGACACGGCAGCAGGGTCCCCTGCCCGCCACAGCCGCCAGTCAACCTCCGACCACGGTCGCATGCGTACACGATCTCAGATCGCGGCTCGAAGTGATGTGCTAATGGGACTGACCGGTCAATGTTAAAGAAACCAAGTTACGAGGAGAACGAAGTGAAAAATATGGCGATACAGAGCGTGTCGAGATACCCCAGCAGTCCGGCGGAGGCCACCGAGCCGCCGAAGGCTTCGCGGATCAGCTTCAGCGTGGCTTCCATTTTGGCGGATACGAAGGCTAACCAAGCGGACGAGACGGCGGAGATGATCAGACATCATAGGACGATACCGGAGTCTCCGTTACGGCAGAGTCCGTCAGCGCAGCCCGAGCTACCAGGGGAATCCCCTAGGGCGTCCAGCCAAACGCCGCCCTTGAATCTAAACGCTTCCGCGACTGTGACTTCATCTGATGACGAATACGAAGATTCTGTTAACCAGGAAGACTCCATAGTTGATGTGGAGGACTTGCAGAATGGGGGGCAAAGCGAGGATGAGGAGAGAACGGGAGATAAGGGGAGATTGGTCAGGCCGACCCCTTTCAGCGCGCTGGCGGCGGCGGCGGTCGCGTACCACGGGCTGGGGTGGCCGGGACCCCCGTCGGTGGTGCCTTCGTTCGGGCCTCTGTTCCAGTCACATTTCCCCGTTGGACATTTAACAGGTTAGATTTTTTTTTGTATTTTTGTAGAGTAGTTAGTAGTGTGGTAGAATGTAGAGTCGTTGAGTATTTACAGGTTTTCGTTTTAAATACTGATTACAATTTTGTAGTCTTTCCTTTTTTTATTAGTAAATACTTTTATGTAGAGCCTAATTTTATTGTTGTATGTATGCTTGTTCTAGCTAGTAGACAAATAGTAGAACTTTCGTAGACCGTAGAGCATTCGTAGCGTTTGAACAAATTCTTAAAATAGACATTGGTAATCAAGCTTTGTAGTTTTAAAAATATACATTATTATACAATATTTTTTCTACTAATTTTAAGTATTTTCCATTTTTTAAAGATAAATAATACCTTAATTAGTCCATGATAATTTATTAATAGGTAGGTATTTAAAAATTTGGTAGCGGTTTAATTAAGCTGAAAATCCGTGTTTACTTTATCTGTTTTGATTTACGCTTACTTGAGTTTAATTACCTTATTTGGTACTTATATTAATTACAATAGCTTTAATTAATAAGTAGAGTACCTATGGGTAGCGGCGTAGCTGTTTTATTTATTTATTTATTTCCAATTTATTAATCGGACTTGGTTTATATATTTAACTAAGAAGGTTAATTAAATGATGAGTTAGAGATAAAATGTTTCTTCATTCATCTATACTATATCTAATGTTATAAATGCGAAAGTAACTCTGTCTGTCGGTCTTGATTTCACGCCTAAATCACTGAACCGATTTTGATGAAATTTGGCATAGAGATAGTTGAGTCCCGGGAAAGGACATAGGATAGTTTTTATCTTTTATCACGATTTTTGAAAGAGGGACGCGCGCGATAAAGTTTTTCTGTGACAGACAAAATTCCACGCGGGCGAAGCCGCGGGCGGAAAGCTGGTAATCTATATTTTATTACTCTTTGATGAGCAATCTGAATGTGTACGCAAATGGTTAATAACAATTAATAATAATTGCAGACTTACGCAATCGCTTATTAATTAACAATAATAACAATTACCGTTAAATACTATATGTAATTAAAATTATCGGCTTCAATTTTGGTAATCATCAATTAATTGGATGCCCGAATATCGTTGAGTTTCTTGATTTGTTTTTTTTAAGTATAAAAATTAACGATTCAAAAGGTCAAGCGTTATAAATGTGCGTCTGCAATAAGTATGTATGTGTGTACATAATATTTATTTACATAAGTATCTTTGATTTAAACTACACTAATATTATAAAGAGAAAAGATTAATTGATTGTTTGTATTAAATAGGCTCCAAAACTATTGGACTGATTTGAAAAATTCTTTCACTATTAGAATCCTCCATTATTTCTGATGAATATAGGCGGTACGAAGTTCGCCGTGGTGAACTGTTAGGTAAAGACGCGCATAGTTTTATTTCGAAGTAAATACACTAGGTACTCTACATTATGGATTAAATGGCCCTTTTGTATTACAAATGCAATTGTACTGTTTAAAAGATAATAATTAGTTAATGATCTGTAAACATTTATTGTTAGTTCCTTATAAAAACTAGGAAACGGTTCCTTTTATTTCGGGAAAAAGGAATCAACAAGTTATTGTACCTACCGGTTAATACTCCAATAAACTTTTCTTTTAATTTTCTTCAAAATTTAAAAATACCGGTTGTTATTTCTTAATAACGTACCTATAAAAATCTAAAATAAATACTACTACTAAATTAAATTAAATTTTATTTTTGAAACACAAGTTAGTTAATATTATCAAAATTATTTTGATAATTTTAACTAACTTGTGGTTAATTCCCACCTCATTATAGATTTTACAAACCGTTAGTTACCATTATAATTATTTTGTTATTTACCTCAATTAAGTTTCAGCTGAGTAGTAGGTATCCTCACGCTATAACTCAATGCAATTTAACCTCTTTATTCGATACAAGATTTAAAACCTTCAAATTTTAAAAAAGTTGCATTCAAATAGGGAACGGATTAAAAAAATAGACTTTCGTGGAAAAGGTTACGTCATAGAGCTTTCAGAATTCACACAATTTGAACATTTAAATAATACAAAGTAAATACCAAAAATATTACTAAATTAACATTATTAAATAATGATGAAAGTTTAATTCATTTTGACGTTCGTAGGTATTGATTGTCACATTTAATATTTGAGCATTGATTGAAATGAAACCACAACTGACTAATATTATTTTACTATGATGTCAACATAACATTTTAATGAAGTCACGTAGGTATTATTACTTTACTATAGTCTTTTCCCGCTAATTCTAGCCCTAAAGTCAAAATAAATCCTTTTACTTTGACTGTGACCAAAAGATCCAATTAGCTAGCTCAACAATAAATCTCGAAGGGATCCCCACAAATCTGTTTCTAAAATATTATAATAAGGCTCGTGTTTCGGAAATCTCCGAAGACACAACTGAATAAAGGCTTAGGAGGAACATAAATACAGGATTTCACGAATGCGAAAACAATAAGGCAAGGATTGGAAGAGGCTCAGGATCAATGGGCACACAACCTCCGCATAAATAGGGACCGCGAAGGTTGGATTCTGAGTTTGAAACTTTTTGCGTTGTTTAAATGCTCGAATGTTTGCGTTTTGAATTTGGAATTCGCTTGGTTTAAAATGAGAACTATGGATATGCATTTCGAATTTTCTTAATTCAAAATTTGCTGACACTTTTTTATTGAAAATACAGATAACAGTAGTGATGTTCGTAAAACAAACTTAAAGTAAAAATTGCTATATCGATTACCTACATAAAAAATAATGCAGAATACGCTAATCGACCTATTTACTTGTTACATATTAAGCTACTTGGCGGAAAATGAGCCAGATTTAAGGGTAACGTTAAAATAGTAATTAAAAATAACTTTAGGCATTTTTCTCTATCTCACATTTCTTTCAACATAAAAAAAATACGGAGTTTCTAAATAATTTAAGTAATCAGAACATTCAGAACCTTGCCAAAACCAGTAATTATGAAAGTGCTATTAATAGACTAGGTGTGTAACGGGAAACTTCATGCTATTATTAAGTATGAATGTCAATTCTCCGAACGCATTATTATTGAATTATTAATTTCCTGTCGATATATGAGTATTAATAACCACAACAATACATAATTAACAGGTAAGATTGTACATAATTGGGTTTTAAATCATATTTCCATGTTATTTATATAAAAACTTCCAATAAGAGGTTTACCAACTTTATCTTATTAGAATTTTCAAATAAGAATTTATATGCAAAATTATTACCATGAATTGAAGTTTTAAAAACGCCAAAAAACATTTAGTAAATAAAAATCTATCAACATTAAGAATCACCTAGTTTCGGCCAATAATTTAATAAATGTAATAATAATACAATTAACACAATCGATTTCACTATTCCAATTAAAATTAATAACAATCGATTAGTTTTATTGCTCGTATTTCATTTGATCGATTCGTAAACAGGAAGTGGGAATCTATTTCACACATTAAACAAAATTAATTAGTATTTTAAACTAATTTAGGATATCCTTCAATAATAAATTTAATTAGAGCATTATTGACGTTAACAATAATATGTTATTAATTATTTCAATAATGTTTAAGTTTATTTCGATTATTATAACTTTTCAACGGCTAGAAATATTTGTTGTTCAACACGTTATTATTATGTGATTGAGTTTGTCCTTGATTTGGTTTCACCATTTAAATCATTAGTGTTAATATTATAAAAATGTTAAATTTATTACTACATTAGAATTGAGATCATTAGTTTAACTTTTATTTAGAACTATAACTATCTCTCGTTCTCACTACTGCAACTCCTGTATAGCTAGGATCTATAGCTTGGCCTGCGAAGAAACCCAACCAGTGAAGGTTTAATCCTGGGGGGTTACTAACTGTCCTGGAACCTTCATCAAATTCAATCAGTAAGCTAAAAACCATCATCTGCACTGTATATACAGTCGACTTTAAAGACTAATTTACGGACTTAAGGAAAAAACACTAGCGCGATGCAAATTTAGTACAACGCCATCTATTGATTTCATTCAGTACTAATTAATTCAGTACTTGCTTATCACTTGTCTTCTTTTCATCGTTATCGGATGCAGAGTGCAAAAAGCCACTAAGAGGGATTTTTTATAAAACATAGCTACTATACATCCATCCATATTAGTATTAAAGTAATTTGTATTAATTGCCCTAGTTTCGATCTTTTGTTAATACCAGCTAGGGTTAAGCTGTAGCGTGCGAAGCAGACATTATGCGGACCGACGCCCTCAGATTGCGCTACACGGTTATCCTATTAGCCATGCTAATGTCTAGAATCTAGATAAATCCTATAGGCATTTAGAATTTGTTGCCACATCAAATAGGGAATTATAAAATGCCTAGAATTATTTATCCTCAATAGTCCAAGGACACTTCTGAAATATTAATTAATTAAGATAACGAATTTTAGCGACAAATTCTTATTCATCAATATGTTCAAACAAGTAATAGGTCTAATCTTTATTTTAATTTTGCCCATAAATTGATAACATTATAATAATATTATCTAAATAATATTATTATCTAAAAATCCTCCTGAAATTACTTGGCATGCACTGTCAGGAGTTATGCTAAGTCGGGACGTTATTGGCACACTTTTTTTTTTATTATTATTTTTTTGTTCCAATAAACTCATTCTATTGTACGAGTATAAACTTTTTTAAATTTTATCTTACAGCTTATTTTTATTCATTTAAACCTTTATGGATTAGCTCTCTCTCTATTTCTCCCATTGCGTGGTTACAAAGCGTTTGGCGTGCAGAATCTGTCCTCAACATGGCAACACCAATCGCGGGTAAAGCGCATGGATACTAATTACCACCTATTTAGGGTAAATCGAAGTGTTTATCTTAGTAATGACTGTTTGCACTGATTTATTCTAGCTAGGACTCTAGCTTTTGTTGGAGGGAAAATTAGAAGATTAAATTTCATTTATAAATGTCGAATT